TGGAGGCCATGGGCGCAATTTAATGAAGTTTTTAAGTGTATGTCGGGGAATAAAAATGCCTTAATTTTCATTATTACTTTATGTTAGGAAATTTTAGTTTCCATGACAGTGTCGGTAACTTTTCCTGGCTACTTTTCCAGCCTTCTAGAGACACTAGAAAAGAAATCTACCTCCACGTGAAACAAACGTCATACGATTGATTAGTAGGTAGTTCTCAACTCAAGAAGACTCTAGAAGTCTCAATTTCAACAAACTCCTAATTATACAGGGTGTAGCATCTAAGATCCCTCGGATCATAATCCCTTTGCCATAACAGGTAGGTACTGAAAAAACTCTTGAGAAAAATTCTACACAATCACCGTCGCCATGTTTCTAAAATATTTTTGATAACCAGAGACTTGCTAGCGCGTTCCAGTGGCGTATCAAACTTGCGTTTTTTTAATAGAACACCCCGTATTTTATTGCAGATTTGGAAAGTACCTACTGGGAAAGTACATATTTTTTATGTCACTTTTAGATTTCGCTATTATAACCTTTTTTCCTTAAAATTTGATAGTTTTTCGACTTTTTTTACAGAAACCAAGTCGCGCAAGATTTAAATTGAGATATAGGCCACCTCTTCCACTGTCACATATTTTTGTTATGTTTTTATCGAAAAAATAAAATCTTTGATTTACCCCCGCCAAATGTCATATTTTTTGAAAATTTTAAAGGGTATCCCCCTAAACAAATTATACTTCTGTTTAACCGCAACTACAACATTTCCACTGATACAAACAGAAGCACATCTTCCATAAGAAAATTTCAGAGAAAAAACGTTGGAACGCCAATTTGCAGAAAAACGTTACCTATTTTTCGAACCCCAGTTTGCCATTTTTTTTAAATTAAAAAAAATATGTTTAACATGTTTACAGAAAAAGTGTTGGGTAGTATCTCCAAAATATGCAAATGACACACGAACAAAAAGGAGTTAGCGAATCTATCAACTTAAAATAAGTGTTCGAAATGACTACCTTCCAGTTGGTGGTATAACCGCAATCTGGGCTCGCAGGCCCTAGACAGAAGAAATGAAGGAGAGTGAGGCCTGGTCATCTGGTTATCTTGGCGGCCCCTTTCCCCCCCCCCCCTCCCCCCTTCCTCCCGACATGAGAAATAGAGACCGTGATTCGAACTCTAAGAAACTTTTGAGAGCCCATAGTCGACTACCCCTCAAAGGCGCGTCTTCCAAAAGGCGATTCCGACGACACCAATTTGACAACAATTGGACCAAAACTATAGAAGAAGATAGGAAAAATGTCCAGGTTAATATATCACGCTCGGGGATGACGCCCAGATATCGCCGACCCCACATCATGTAGCCCAATCGCTAAAGTTGTTAATTATACAGCGCCGGTATAGGTACATGTACACTCTTCGTCTTTATACAAACGTTCTTCTACGTGCCCGCATTTGCTGCCAGTCAGCCAGCCCGCCAGCCAACCGACCAAAGTGAGATTAAAAGCTATATTTTACAAATAAATTTTCAAAAATACGCAAAGACAATGACAGACTGCCCACACTTTACGGTTAATTGTGACAATTGAACATCTTTTTTTTCATCAAGGCAGACTTGGGTTCGGAAAAGAACGTTTTTTTTAACAAATTGGCGTTTCGACTTCTTCTTTCTCTAAAATTTTCTTATGGAAGGTTGCTTTTGTTTGTATCAGTGCAAATGTTGTAGTTTCTCAAAAAGTTACGAGTACAACATGTTACATAAAAAAATAAGTATTTTTCAAGTACAAATCTGCAAAAAAATAGAGGGTGTTCCATAAAAAACGCAACTTTGATACGCCACTGAAATACAGCATCCCCTGGCAAACAAAAATATTTTTTGAAACATATGGCGACGATAATTGTGTACAAATATATTTCTCTAAGGCCTTTTTCGATATCTTTTAAGGTAAAGGAATTATGATCCGAGTGGTCTTAGATGCTACACCCTGTATAACTGTGAAAAATTAAAGCGTTCGATTTCACTCATCGTATAATCTAACAAATTATTATAATTCATGTATATTTTACGCTAAATAAAAACAAACGAATAAATCAATCAATCAATCAACCTTTGTTAAAACTATAAGTAATGGTAAACATGAAATTTCCGGCCCTTAATTTGATCTCAAAGCCTTAACTTTGAACTTGAACCGCAAAGCGTTAATCCAAATGAAACTGATCAAATTAAATTTATGTGTACAGATTCGAATTTCGGTTCAGAAACTTGAAATTTGAACTTTGAAACTTTAACCCTCGAATTTTTGAGCTAAAATTAGAAACACAGGCAACTCAAGAACCTAAATTTTCAGCTTATTTTACAGGTTTTCAAATTAAGCTCTTGAAATCAATAGTTTAAATTCAAATTCTCAATTCAATACAAAAGCCTCAATTTTTAATGAACTTAAGAGTTTGAATTGCCAAATATTGGGTTCAATTTTATAATTCAGTTCGAAACTATTCGCATATAAGTTAGTTTTGATGTCATGAGTTTGCATTTAACAAAATGTTGCTAAGTAATCTTCTCCCAAAGTTCCTAGTGCAAAAGTCGAATAATGGAATTTTGAGTTAAGAACTTAAACTTAAACAGTTCCTTCTCCAATTTCCCCAGAAAGTTCTAGTTTGAGCCCACTAATTGGCATTTAAATTTTGATTTTTGCGAGTTCGAATTTGAAAAAAATTAGCTTACTAACTGCCGATTAGTGAGTTTAATTTAGTAGGTTACACTGTCAATACCATTCAATTACTTGTCGAAATTTAAGCCTTCCATCCGAATTGCTCCGAATTTCAGGTTCTTAATGTTCTAATGTTCTAAATGCATGTCCGATGTTCAAGCACTTAATCCGAACAAAAGGACCTAGTTTTGATTATGAGTCATATCAATTGAGAGATTTTTATTATGATCGTGTTCCAAATTATTGAAACTAAAACTTTCACATCGAAATTGAAGACTGAGAACCTTTCTTGAAATAATGCGTTGTGCAGTCTCCGCCTCCCAAATAATAAAATTCTGCAATACATCAGAAGTTTAAAGGGAAATACTAAGAAACGGGAAAAGCTCTGGTTCTTTCGTTACACACATTATGCAGCACGCCAACTTCCCTTTTAGTTCATCATATATTTAGACCCATAACTACAGATTCAATTTCTTTAATTTTTAGCTAGCGACGAATATCAAGCTTTGTCCTGCTGATTCTTCTATGTTATGTGACCACATGCCTTGCTTCAAATTGAAGATCATTAAGACCATCCGTTCGAGATATATGGGTTTAATCAATTTTGTTACTTTCTGCTACCCTAGTCCTGTTTGTGATTGCATCATCCGACCTCATACTGCTTCATGTACCAGGTCAACCACACCATCTGTTATTCTGTTCAAATATGAAGCAGGACGATTAAGATACACAACAGCACAAGGTTTGGAAGACGGTGCTGCTCAGAAGAAAGCCAACAAAGGGACGAAAAGACCAGTAAGATAGGATTTGGAAATATTTCTTCAACACATCACATGAAGAATCTTGTTAACTAGGCATTTTTTGAAATAAATTTTGATTAACCGAGATAAAAAATATAGCCGGCATTGGCGAGCAATTTAAAGGTCGTTAACTCTCACGCCCCGTACGAAAATGCAGGTAAGTTGTAACCCTAAACATCGCAATCTGTCACAATTTAAAAGTTCCACCCTATAAAAATTAAACCGTGAAATCGTAAAGTTATTGAAGCGGCAATAATAAGTAAATTCCACCTGATATTTGAGTTGCCTTAAGTAGTTTGACAATGTTTAGGTACACGCCGCTGATAAATGGGCTTTGGCGTTATAAACGCAAGTAGGGGGTCAGGTGGTAAAGAACTCACCTGAAGATTCGTGGCCAAAGTGGTTGCTGAAAGCCGACCATGAAGAATCACTTTACCTGCGCTTTTATTAAAACATCGCTCAACGACATCGGCACAAAGCTAATGTGCTTGTATTTTGACTTACTAAAAAGTGCGGTCGACCATAGAAAATGCGAAATTCTTACGAATTTTCGGAGCACGGCGTATACCAAAGGCTCGTGTGGTTTTATTGTTGTAGGTAAGCTACATAAATTTAAGCAGCAGAAGTCCAGATGCTGACGTATGTCAACCGAAGCTTAAAATTGGTTGTCAATCATTTTTTTGTAATCATAACTGAAAGCAAAAACGTTATTATAAATAGTCGGCGCATTGATAAATGATTATGCGAATTATGAACAAGAACAATTCATGTTTTTCCTTCACACTTTCATTGTCTTAATATTCTGCTCACTTTTGAATCAAGCGGTTAGCTTACAGCAGACACGAAAATGTAGAACAAACAAGACTTGTGGTTCTTACTTGTACCACTCAGTAACACGTCATGGTAGCTAGTTCTTGTACGATGTTGGTAAAACATTACTCGGACGTGATTGAGCTTGGCAAATTTAAACCAAAAACCTAGCGATTGCGATCGTTTTCTTTTGCTTGTAATAAGTTGGGGTTTGTGTTCTGCACGCTCGTTGCAGTCACCGCGCGTTTCCTACTTTAATTGATTGCCTCAATTAATGTTTCCCAAATTTTGTTAATTGTTGACAAATCTGTAAATGGCATTCTTAAAATATTTTCGCGCAATTGCGATGATGAATTGACATCTAAGTGGTCGAATTAGGGTACATTATTTCGCCATTGAAATTCCGGAAGGTAATGGACACCGGTTGAATGGCGATCAGGCACGAATTAAAAGATGATTAACTAATTAAAGGTCAAATCCTTAAAATAATTCGTAATTTAGATCGAGTCTTCAAAGGCTTCGGAATACTCACCGAAGATACGTAGCCATCCTCCAGACATCGTGGTGTCCCCTCCACGTGTATGTAGGTTAACGCGGTAAGCCTCTACAACAGGTACAGTTATTCTTCGGCGGGGAAATCAGGGGGTCTCTGGGAGCTGGTAGGGCTTCTGCAGTGTCCAGTAGTGTATCCTCTGTCATTGTCATCACATTGGTACTGGAAAAAATTGCAAGATCGATCTTTTTTGGGTCAACCTACTCCGGTACCGAGCTCGCGAATTTCGTCTTTGCCGCGTAAACTGTGCGTTTCTATTGTGTGTTTTGTGTCCAGAGTTTTTAAAAATTGTGTCGGCGCTCCAGAGGACAGAAATCGCGGCGCTCTACATTACGCTTCTTGTAGAGCCGATAACAATGACATGAAAACATACTTATAGGAAGTTAAATTGTGATAGTCCGTGATTATACCCCAATTTTGTCGACTATGCTGCTTACGGCCAAAAGTTCTTTGCACAGACCGAAGCGGTGATGCGGATGATTTTTCTCAGTGTGGATTTTTCAGTGTCGCCTCCTAATTTTTTGAAGCAAAGTAGAACGGACATATAGTGCTAATTATCGGATATACAACAGTGACCCACATCATTTTTTTATATTGGACAAACCGAATCTGTGAGTATCTTTTCTGAGTTTGTAATTCTTGCTTAGGTACCACCTTGGCAATATCCAAGGACGCCAGAGGCTGAGAAGTGTAAACATTTCTCCGATAGCGAAAGAGTGATAATTGCATTGAGATAAAGTAACGTAGCCATTAACATTGAGGGATCCGAATTAAGAATTTATTGTGCAAGAATGAATCATTGAATTAGCCAAATAGGAATATGTAAACATTCATTCATAAGCTTCGTGTTTATATTTATGCGATTTTATGTAGGTAAGTCAACGTACTCTCTACTCTCTAGGTAGAAGTAAACTTTGATCCTATGTACCTAATAAATAATTACACTAACAAATACAGATATTTGGCCTATTTCTGCTTGATTATACACGATACCAGCTATAGCCATCCACTTTAAAACAATGAAAATTTTACATTCGGGGACCTATATTTTAAGCAAAACCTTTAAATGGTACCATTTGTCTGGTATTTTAATTGAATAATTAAGGAAAATTAGGGTACGTGTGAAGGAAGACGGTATCCCGCCATATATATTTTTTTCCGTAATGCGCTTCATCATTAAATGAAGCAGTTCTGTTGAAGAATTATGCGTTAGTAGTAGACGCAGAGAAGCTACCGATATCTTCAGGCACTAATTAGAAGCACCAACGCTCACCAATTGGCACTCCTTGTAAACGATCTTAAAATTGCTTGCCGACATCAATATTTTATGTTGTTTGTGATAAAGACATCCGCTTTCTTATTTTAAACTTACGTCGTAGACCATTACGAACACGCGCTTTGCACAGAAATTGTGAATATTATCGCGTCTTTGAGTATTTTCATAAATCCTCTGCATGTTTTATAAAGTAGAAGAATTTGGGATGTGTTATATTTAGAGGGTTGTTTTGCAAATATTCAGTTCCAAAAAAACAAAAAGAAAAAGAAACCATTTTTGTTCATTTGACTAACGACCTCCAACCAAGACCGCTTGAAACTTTTTTGAAAATCCATCATGCGTACGGATAAAACAAAAAATTCTCCCTGGTGGATAATGACGACTGCAATCCCGAAAACTCTGTGGTCGAAAAACCACGAAACTTTACCCTCATGTTAAGTGTTCGCCTTATATCACTAATGGCCGTTTGCACCGACAAATTTAAGCGGAGCTTAGCTTAAGCGTAGCTTAAAATCCAATATTATGGATAATCCAACGATTATTGAGACAATGGTTGCCATGGATTTTAAGCTATGCTTAAGCTAAGCTCCGCTTAAATTTGTCGGTGCAAACGGCCATAAACCATATAATTTTTGATATAAATTAATTCTAAATCCAATATTCAAAAAGATTAATTTGTGGCAATTTAAGGCCAACGGCCCTTCGATATTAATTGGTTTCGGTGGTACAACTCTTCAAACTGTAGTGTTTTGCAAAAGGTGAAAATATTCTTTAGGGTCGTGTCTCTTGACTGTATATCCGTAATACCAATCTTCAGAAAGTGAACTTGATTAACTTCAATTGAGGCGCTTCATTAATTGGACAAATGAGAACGATGCGAAAAATAGAATTTGCCCTTTTGGAGGAATCTGATTCACTCGAGTTAGGATCACGGGTAGGGAAAAAAGGGCCTTCTCTGGTTCTCCGTGCACCCAGTCCTGTTGCTAAGGGCAGTATTCAATTGGACATTTCTTTGTATACGTATAATTGATATTGCAAATAAAGCAGCATTTTTTTGGGAAACGCAGTGTGTTGTATAATGAGGCAGGTAACCGTTCAAAAGAATTGTTTCTCTGGTGGTACAGCAAATCGTGATGTAATTTCAATAATTTTACCCCATATAGAGTATGGAATACATTCATTTAAGGGGATATGTGAAAAACGGCACTGCCGATCATAAACCCATTGAGCACGTTTCATAGTATGTATGTGTTCAGTAAATATATTATTATTATTATTATCATTTTAGCGTTAATTTGTAGTATTGAGAAAAAAATTAAACGAAATCGATTTTTGTTCTTAATTGGGGAATTAATAATACGATTAACCCCTATAGCACGCCCTCTGAATTATAAGTCCCCCCTCGACTTTAAATTAAAGGGCAGGTCATGTGGCACCTTGTTTTAAATAGGTTTTAATTATCTGTTTAACAATATACCGCTTTTTTCTTAAATTTGGAGCAGTCATAAATGACAAAATTAATTTTGAAGAACTAAAATTTTGATAATGCCTATAGAGCCAGAATGAAAAAAATAATGTCACATTTATTATTCAGTATTTTCAATTGTAAAATGCACGAAATAATAAAATACTTCATTTTACATAGCATTTTGTGATGAGGACTAAATTTTACACATCTCATTTCTGATTGCATCATATTAAAAAACCTGTAACACAGAATTAAAATCCCTCCCAAACAAAGTGCCACACTACCCCTCGCACTACCCCTTTATAATTAAATTTTTTAAGAGGGTGCTTATAATTCAAAGAGGAGATTAGGTATATTTGTGTACTGTAAATTATCAAATTATGAATAAAAATTGATCTGTTTCAGTTTTTCCCAATAGTGAATAAATATCGCTTCAAATGGCTTTACTCCATACATATGAACATCTCTGAATTATGTTCTCCGTCTCCGTTATCGAAAACAAACAACATGAACCGAGGCATGAACACTCCATTCTCAAAGCGAGTGTACCTTGTCGTTGTAGCATGAAAGGGACAGAAATTCTTTCTACCAAATCACATGCACTTTTTTTGTGAAACTTTTAGTACCACAAACAGAATCACTACGTTTTGAGATACAGGGTGAAAAAGGAAAGTTTGACTTTTTGGGATGTTATCATATCTTACTACCTATGTAACATAGAAAAAGGTAAAAACTGCTTATTTTAGATATTTGTACGTAAAATCCAGTGGCGTAGTCAAAAAAAGTTTTTGCCCATCGTTTTTGAGATTTGACCCAAATTTGGTATTTTTTAAATGCCACGAACTAAAAACAAAAACTTTATTTTGTATGGTTTTTAAATACTGGGCCATTGATTCATGGAGATTTTGTTTTGTTTATTGTATCCATGGTAACTAAGGCAGTCGATAGCAATCAATAAAAATGATTGACAGTAGAAACATGTGACTTCAGACATTTGAAAAATATGGCATAAAATATAATTATATAAAAAAATATATAAATCAATAAAAATGATTGACAGTACGTGTCTTCAAAAATTTGAAAAATATGACATAAAATACAATTATATAAAAAAAAATATATGTTGTTATACTATAATGTAATCAAGAAAAAAAATTGACGTTAATACAGGGGGCTGCATTTAAAAAATACTTTGATTGAAATCGCAGAAACAATGGCTCAAACAATTTTTTGACTACGCCACTGACGTAAAAATATCTAAGTAGGCAGTTTTTACCTTTTTTCCCAAAAAGTCAAACGTATCGTTTCCACCCTGTATCTCAGAAACAAATGTAGCTAGATTGATTCTGTCTGTCTCTAAAATACTTGCTGGATACTGCTCAGCCCATGTGAACCTAATAAAATATCACTCTTATTTTGTATGGTTTTTAAATACTGGGCCGTTGATTCGTGGAGATTTTGTTTTGTTTATTGTATCCATGGTAACTAAGGCAGTCGATAGCAATCAATAAAAATGATTGACAGTAGAAACATGTGACCAAAAATTTGAAAAATATGACATAATATAATATATAATTGTATAAAATAATAAATGTTGATACTGCAATGTAATCAAGAACAAATTGATGTTAATACAGAGTGCTGTATTTAAAAAATACTTTGATTCAAATCGCAGAAACAATGGCTCAAACAATTTTTTGACTACGCCACTGACGCAAAAATATCTAAATAGGCAGTTTTTACCTTTTTACTCTCTTACATTTGTAGATATGATAACATCCCAAAAAGTCAAACGTATCGTTTCCACCCTATATCTCAGAAACAAATGTAGCTAGATTGATTCTGTTTGTGGTACAATAAAATACTTGCTGGGTACTGCTCAGCCCATTTGAACCTAAGAAAATTTCACTGTTATTTCGCATTTTGACTCGTTTTCCAATATTTGTTCCAAACACTTGAAACTCATACTGTGACAGGCCAAGACTGAAAGACAGAAGTTTAAGCTTCAATTTTGTAAACATCTCATGCAATTTTTTCTGTTGATCAGTGATTATGAAAACTCTGAGATATAGACCTGCAGCTATGATACTAATCTTTATTGGAGGAGGTTGTGTAATTCTCATTCAGGTGTTTTTTCTGCGCCATTCGATCAGTTCCCAATGAAAATAACTACTCCTTATACACACAGGGAAAATGTGTACCCTCCCAAAACTCGACAAAAATGCAAAACCCGGTCAATTTTTTATCTAGAGGAGGGCCAATTTTTACAGAAAAATATTTCTTGCAACTTTAACCCTGTACTGGCGGTTGCAAACCACAAATTTTTAAATGGGAAGAGGAGTCAAATGATCTGTAATTTGGAAGGATTTTCAGAACCGCTTTTATTTTTTTCTAAATCAAGTGATTAGTTTCCGCGAAGTCGCGCTTTAAAGATTCAAAAAAAAGCTTGAAATGAACTTCGGCGATAATTGGAGGAATTTTTCGAAAGAAATTCCCTGGTTTTGTCCGTCCGTCTGTCGAAGGAAAAGGGACAGCGACGTCAAATCCTCAAAGTTCAATATGAGCCGGATTAAATGTCACGTTTGAAAGGCTAGCCTAGTGCCAAAAAATTCCCCTACTGAAATCGTATGCGATTCTTCGTATCTGCTTGTCGTGGTTCTACAAATTTTACATTGAAAAACTGTTGTATTTTGTGACCATTTGTGAACACGTTGTCACTCCCACAAGACCTTTCTGAGCAAGAGGGTTTGTACCAGAATGTCGGCAAAATTGGGGTGATTAGTTTCACTTTCGCACAGTCGCACCTAAATACTACCACACCAAATGGCCAATTATTACATCTTAATAAAACCTTATCATTTGATCTA